GTGTGGGGGATCATGCGCCCCTGTCTCTGGGCCGCCATCTCCTCCCAGGTGAACGCGTGGGTTAGACCGGTAGTCCCTGATGCCTTCTCCAGCTCTGTCAATTCTGCAATTTTATGAGAACTTGCAGATCGGGGTTCGCATTTCTGTGTCGTCATGAACTAGCAGCGAGTCTCCTCCCTGTGCCTCCCCTGTGAAGGGCTTGCCCGGGGTGACCCAGGGAGATAATGCGCAGATCATCAGTGGGGATTGACAAAAAGCCCCTGGGGAATAGAAGGTGACGTTCTCCATTTTGGCCACAGCACCTGTGGGTGAGCGGGCGGGCAGCTGTCTCCATGCTTAATGCTTTCGTCTCCTTTGTTTTTCTTGGGGTGCCCTCATCCATTCAGTCCCCGTCTGCTTTATGCTGGGAGCTGGTGTTTGCTCTGCCCGTCTCTGCTCACCAGGCACTCAGCCGAGTTTGCTGGGAGTGCTGGCCTCCCACGTTCTTCCAGGCGTCTAGGAGTTGGGCTAATGTTGAAGATTAACAGGCTTAAAATAATTTCAGATTTGTTTTAATTTGGATAAAGGTTGACCTGAAATATACCAATGGGCAGTTTATGCAAAGGGCTTCTTGCCAAAAATATTTAAGTATATGAGTCAGGGATGGAATTTACTTACCTAAAAATGCACTGTTTTAAATTACCTTTAGGAAAAACCAGTTACATTCAACAGCACAATAGAAGCGGAGCGTGACCTCACACTGATGTACAAGTGCTTTTGTCTCTTAAGACCGTTATTACCATTTTGGTTTCCCTAGGATGCTCCCAAGGGGGAGAGGAGCAAGTGCTATGGTTTGCATCTCTGCCTTTGGGGCTGGAACCACCATGAGTTTTGAGATCCACACAGCAAATACTAGAAATGGCTGGTTCCTTGTCCATTCCTCTTGGGCCATGCTTTTTCCAGAGATAAAACTTGAGAGTTAATTGGAGGCTGGAGTGAGGGTAGAACAAAGGGGATCACTACTTAATAGAATAAATAACTTTAGGGCCTCCCCGGTGGCGCAGCAGTTGAGCGCTGGGTTGCGAAGCTGCCCGCGGCCTCTGCAGCGCCGGTTCGTTCCCCGGCTGCTCCCCGGCCACCGGAGGAGGGTCCCACATGGCGCGCAGACCTCTCCTGCCGCCCACTGCTCCCCTCAGCAGTGTACTTTGGTCCTTCTGCCTGCTCTGCTCCCTGCTCTGAGTCTGGTGAATTCTCTCACCCTCCCGCGCTTCTGACTGTACCCAGTGCATGTGTAAACAGAACAAACAAACAAATAAATAAATAAATAAACATGCCTCTATAAAAAAAAAAAAATAGAATAAATAACTTTGCAAGGGAGCAAGGTAAACCTTGTAGGATTTTCATCTTGCTCGTGTCTACATAAACCATCTGCATAAATTCTTTAGAATTTACATCCTATTGCTTTTCTGCAAGAAACCTTATTTCTCCCCATACCCCCGCAACCTCCACCACCCCCAAGAGTGATAGAACTGTTTCTATATGAAAACCAATTTCCCCTTCCTCCATTCAAACTTTTTGCTCATTTCAGACTGACTGCCCCTTCCCCTGGGGCTGGTTGGAATAGAATATTCTTTCGTTTCCACCAGAGAAGCTGGCTGTGCCCTTTTTGAGTGCACAGATAGGTTGCTGAAAAATAACAGTGAAAAAATAGCCAAGCTTAACTGGACACTTACCATATGAGCTAAGTGCTTTATTTACGTTATCTAATTTAATCCTTCCAACAACCAAGTGAGGTAGGTATTATTATCTCTCCTTCTGGAATAGATGTGAATAGGCTCCAGCTAGGTTTGGGCTGCAGTGGGTGGGAAGTGGTTAACTTAAATGATGGTTAGGTAAGGAGAGTGACTGCAGGCTGACTCCATGGCCACTGCTTTCTGTCTCCGTGTAGCTTTTCTTCAAAAAGACATCTTGAAAACTCCCCAAGACAACATACAAACACCCCCTCAGTGGAGAATCATGGGCTGATTCACAAAGTGTCCCAGCAACAAAGGGACGTGATCTTAATCACTTGCATGTCCCGGAGTGGAGTGGGAGACCCTGCTTGGATCCTCTGTGCCTCCTTTTGCTCACCGAAGCCCTCTCTGTAGCCCACCTGGTGCAGGTGTGTCCATTACTGTGTACCTCAGACCTCAGAGGAAACTGGCAACAATTTCTCTGTTGCTTCCAGTAGTAAAACTCTTAAAGGGCTTGGAAGTAACTTCTAGCCTGAGGATTTTGAAGTATGAAATTCCGGAGTCTCTTTTGTGCAGCCTGATCTGAGGAAAATGCTGAAGGCCCTGGGGAGAAAGGGGCTGTGTTTGGCCTGTGGGCCTGGCTGGGGTTGGAAGGCAGCGTCCATGTGCAGGGGGATACAAAGGGCCCTCTCAGTGAGCATGTGGCCCTTGCCCTGCTGAGTGCCGGGTCAGATTATATCCCTTGAAACAAAGCTTTGGGCTTAGCTTCTTACTCATGCATTTCAGTCTGTCCCCAGTAGCCTTGGCTAGGATCTGCCTTGACCAGAAGAGGGGACTTTCAATCCAGGGTGACCTGTTGGACTGCAGCATCTGGCTTTGGCAGGCAGCACTGGGCCAGAGGCAGAGCCTTGGGTGCTAGAGCTGGGGGAGGGGGGTAGTCCTCATGGAAAGGGAGGCTGGCCTTGGCTGTGGGAGACCAGGGGCCTGGGAGTGAGTCAGCCCTGGAGACAGGTTCCCCAGAGTGATTATTGGCCAAGCAGGAGGAACGGCCAGCCAGGCCCCATTAAATGCTGCCACTGGCGAGGAATGTCTCTAGGAACGCTCCCCTGCAAGGCTGACAGAATCAAGGAGGTAAACTCCAAAGCAGTGTTTCCCACCTGAGCTTCTGCAGTCATGGGGGAGCTCGGGCCTGAGGGGAGGCCAGCCCACCAGGTGTTGCTCACAACGCTGTGAGCAGCCATTGCCGCAGCCACCCCATATCCGGCCATCACCCCACGCCCGGCTCTGGCTCACACTGGCTGTTTCCCTTGCCAGAGCCCCCCAGGCATGGCGTTATTAGCTCCATTTTATAGATGGAGCTCCAAGAACTAAGTAATGAACTTGCTTCGACCATTGCTGGACTCAAACCCAGGTCCATCTGGGTTTCTTTCTATTCCACCATTAGACTTCCTCAGCAGTTAGCACAGTCTCAGCCCAAGGGGCTAATTTTGGATGAGCTTTCTGGAGTAGCAATCACAACCTTGGGGGTAGGGATTGTCTCCATGAGATGTGGGGTGGAACATGGTGCTTGGCCGAACACGTTGAGAAATGCTGTCGTTGCGTGGACAGTAGAGGCATTGCCTCGCTGATACACAGTCATCCTACTGCTTGGAACAAGATGCCATCAATCTCCTTATCCTGATTTCTGTGAGTAGGTCCTCATTGAAAGAACTAATTTGGGGAAAAACAGTGGTGTTTGGTATGCACACAAGAGCAGCAGCCTTTCTTTAACCTTTCTGCCTTATTAATGATGTCTGAATTTCACCCAGGCAGACCAGAGCTCTCTTGTATGCCCCACCACTCAATTTGTATGCAATCACCAGCTTTCCTCAATTCCAAGATGTCTTTAATCCCAAGGGCACATTTAATATCTTTGCAATTGGCACACATCTTGCCATTGAGGTCTACATTTAAGGTGGCGGGATTGTTTAAACTGAAGTTGCATTTTTAGAATTGACAAAGACTAAGAATTGAGGCAATAAGATAATTCATATATTTATTTAGTTCACCAAGTTGACATCAGGCATTATGCTAATGCTTGGAATATCTAATAACCAGCATGGAGTCCTCAGGGAACTCAAAGCCTCTGGCTGGGGGTGGGGGAGATATACCTGAAAGATCAATAGTTACAGCCTAAGGGTTCTGATTTGCAGGCGCTAGGGTATGTGGAGGGTCAGAGGAAGGAGAGAAAGGAGATAGGGAGCTTGAGATACATGAAGAGGAGAAGAATGCAGAGGGGCTAGGGGCTGGTAGGGGATGGTTAGGGCTGGAATCTAGACAGACTGAAGAGTTGGAGAGAACAGTGGTTTAGAATCACGAAAAATTGGCTGTGTCTGTCAGCTGCAATGGGTTGACTGTGCTGGACTGAAGGTGTGTATGGAGCCGGGGTGGGGGGGGGTATATTGAAGCTGCCGAGAGAGGCAGGTGGGAGGGCATGGAGGACCTGAGTGTTAAGCACACGAGGCTCATCTCTATCCTGAGTACAGTGGCAAATCATGGAGGGGTCTGGAGCGGGGGATGATGGCCCTGCTAGGAACTCTGTGTAGAAAGCACAGGAAGAGAATGGTGGGAAGGGGTGGACAAAGCAGCTGTTATTGGAACAGAAGAATATTTCATCTAATATTCCCAGACAGGACCTGCTCATGGAGCCTGGAGGAAAACCACACAGTGATGCAGTGGGGCTTCTAGAACTGGAAGCTGCAGGCACTAGTGGCTTTGCTCTTACCTTACCCCCAGCACATGTGCCCTTGCTTCAGGAGAGCCACATGATTAATATGAACAGAAAAACTAGAGGAAGAATATAAGCACTTGCTTCTGCTTTTAAAGGAGGGTCCTATCAACCTGCAATGGTGACATTCTAATTTGCCAGATTAGTTCACAAATCAGAATTTTTTACAGTTGGATGGGAGTGTATACCAGTGATTGGGGGGAAAATATACAGTATTGGTGAGAACCTTCACAGGAAAAACCCAGTAAGCATATTCTAGTATAATGTAAGCTACTAAATATTAAAAATAATAAGATGTAGGTAAGTCGCAGTGGCTGTGCATTGGAGTCACATAGAAGAATCAATGCTGTTGACTGACTGGGCCCCTGCAAGGGATACCCTGGGGATAGAGAGATGCTGGGGAACCAGGGGTGGAAGGCACTCACTGACCATGTTGGTCATGCTCTGAAAGATGGGGAGAGGCTATTGCTGTTGTGACCCAAGACTGACCGTTCTCTTCCCCTTCCCTCTTCCTTGAACAGGTGCAGTGCCACACTTACACAGGGTACTGCTGGTGTGTCACCCCGGATGGGAAGCCCATCAGTGGTTCTTCTGTGCAGAATAAAACTCCTGTATGTTCAGGTACCGTAGGGAGGGGCGGGAAGAGAGACAAGGGTTGGAGAGAGACCCCTTGGCTGGTCTCCTGCATCTTGTGGGGGAGCTTTTGAAAGATCGGTGGTAGTCTTTGGTGGTAGTTATGAGCCCTATTCCAGGTCAGGAGGATTTCATGTTTGCTCTGTAGCCAGTTGGGTGATAGTGTCAGTATATGCTTATGTGCACAGATTTATTATTTTGAGTTTAGTTTTCTGGTTCAATTTTTCTCTTTCCAACCTTTGGCTATAACCTCTAGAGCATGGCATAAAAGTTTCTAGCTTGGGTGCTCCGGCTGCTGGGAATACTTTATTGAGATGGATTTCCAGACTGCATGGAGTTCAACATCAAGGACTGCGATGATCAAGTAGTGATGTCTGCCATGGGCACAGGAGAGGAGAGTGGTGGCTTATGAGCCATGCATTTGCCACCCTTGTTTCTCCAAACCTATGTGTAAGAGGTTTTATGTTTTTAATTTTTAAGTGCAAGCAAAATATAAAACATTCTTTTAAAGCCAGTGGGAAATTCCAAAGCCCCGCAGGCCTACTATCCTGCTTTCTTTTCTCTCTTGTTTTCCCCTTCTTTCCTGCTCCTCTTCTTTCTCTTTTTCTTTCTCCCTCTTTCAACAAAAATTTATTCCTTTTTCTACCGGCCCTTCTATATTAAGGGAAAAGTTGGTAGGAAGGGAAGTCAGTTTCTACATTAGGAAACCAAGATTTGCAGGCCAACAAGGAAAGTTTACTTTATTTGTGGTTTACATGGAAACTGGAAACCTTAATTGGGGTTGTGTGGGGAGGGGCAGGAATAAGCTCTCCTTGCAGATGACCTGGAAAGTTTCATTTAAAGCAAACAAATGCACTAGAAGCAAGTCATGAGGGGGGAATATAATTGAATTCTCACAGAACTAGTCTATAGAGAAGGGGTGTCATGTAGATTTAGGGAAATATGGATTCTCTCTTTTGTTGGTGGGACCTCCACAGATGCTCTTTTGTGGACCAGCTGGCTGTGCCCTGCCTGCGTGGGGTTGGGTTTCACTGAGTGGACAGGTGTCACCGGGTTCGGATAGTCGGATAGGGACATACGGCATCCCAACAGAACAGGGCAAAGCTTTTGGCCAAATCCATTGCTATCCACTCTTGAGGAACAGCCTCATCTAGAAAATTGTTTCCATGCTTCAGACTATTTTGGCCCATTCAGTACAATTGGGCCAACAATTTTCTACTTAATGCAGATGGAAAATTGCCGATTTCCTGCCGTAACCAGCAAGGGATGTCAATCATTGCACTTGCAGCAAGAGGGGATTCTTTTCTGTTGGCCCTACTGATTGGAAATGGCTCAGGACATGGGGTTGGTGGGAAGCAGGGGCGATGCGAGTAGAAGCGAGAGGCAGTTATTGGAATGTTATAGGGAGGTGGAATTTTGTGAAATCTGGTCAAGGCTATTGCCAAGGAAACTGGAAATCATGGTTCATCTCAATGGGTGCTGTGATATCAGTGATATTGATATTAAACAAACCCTGCTGGACTTGTATGTATGTATTAAATTTGTATATAATGTTCTTATATGTATGTACTATATAAATGCATGTGCATGTATGTGTATATATCCACTTATAGCTCCAGATGTGCATACATCAGGCTGTGCCTACCCTTTGAAAGATACAAACCAGGATGCATCCTGAATGTCTGTGTTTTTGTCTCCTCTTGCACCCAAGGTTCAGTCACTGACAAGCCCTTGAGCCAGGGTAACTCAGGACGGAAAGGTGAGTAGAGTTTTATGCTTTATCCAAATGTTTGCTCCTAAAGGCAGTCCAAGCAGGAATTCTTAGACAAGATGGAAAGAGCCTAGGGTGAAAGCTAGAGTGCCTGCAGAAAATCTCCATTTTTATTCAGTGTTTCCTCCCAGAAGCACTGGAGGTAAGTAAAGCTCATATAGTGGTGGAGACCAGAATTTTGGTGAGCAAGTGCAATCCACAAAACTGGTAGGGACCCTGAAATTCTTCTTTCCCTGTGGAGTTCAGTCAATCAACTTCCTGAATTGCCAAGATTAAACCAGGAAGGATGGTGAAGGTAGCCATGTCTACCTTGGCTATTATTTTGGAAGCCCCTTTGAGCAGTTTTTCCTCCTTGATTTTTCTCAGTTATTGTTCCAGCACATCCAGCTCTCTTCACTGACACTAGGCTGGCTCATGGGCTTGCGACCTCTGCAGTGGTCTTGAAATTCTTTTCTTGCCTTGAAACTTGTGTTTTGTAAGTGAAGTCCATGGGACAACAAGGCATATGCGTGACCAGACAAGGCCCGTGTACCCTCTGTGTCCATTGCCCACTCACGTGGACCATGATTTCCAGTGTGGAAGACACTAAGATTTACTGCTTCTGCGATGCCTGCATGGGTTTCTGAAGTGTGCTTCAAATTTTCATTTTTCTTTACTCAGAAAAACACTAAATAGAAAATTCAAAAGCATCATGACAAATAGATTTTGAAACAGAGGGTAAAGCTTTATATGTTAGTGCCTTTTAATGTCACCTTCCCCCCTCCCAGTTTTTGAACAAAGGATCTTCCATTTTCATTTTGCGCTGAACCCTGCAAATTATGTAGGTCAGCCTCATAGTAATTGATTCCAATTAACGTATTTGTCTGAGTGCTCTTTAGTGGACCAGCCAAGATGAGGAATAGGTCCCTGGGCTCCACTGACCATGATTTCCAGCATGGAAGACACTAGGATTTACTGCTACTTACTCTGGGACATACACACAGAGAGTGGGGTTTTGCTTGGTAATAGTTATTAATTTCCTTGTGTGTGCAAGCACTCCAGAACCCCCGTTTTAGATTCTCCAGTTAAACCCAGACAGGAGACCTTAGCGGGGTTTGAGGCTGCCCACCTGAATCATGAGGCGATGGAGACTATTGCCAGCCAGGAAATAGTCCTCCACAGGCAAGAAGGAGAAAGGCAGAATCCGGTCTTGGAACTTAATGCTCACCATTGAGCATGGCGTCCAGCTAGAGAGCAGGGCCTGCTGAGAGCCAGGTACACAGACTTGTCTTACACACAGCCAGAGGGGGCCCAGGTGAAGCCCCGGACCCTGCTCCCAGGGCTGTTCCATGGGGATGGAAAGAGGAGGAAGTCACCCTGCCTGATGCAGGAGCTGAGAGTGGGGAGACCTGCTACCTGTAACGCAGGCGCTCCGAGAAGACTTGCAAGTGGAGTATGGTGCTTCACTGCCCACTGGAAACACGGACTGATGGACCGATGGGCCGCTCTCCCTCCCGTGAGCAGGAATAAGTAAGTGGATTCTAAGGAGCAGCCTTTCCAGGTCCTTCCCAGAACAGGGAGACATAACCTTGAGGGTGATTTCTTCCTAGGTGGGAAAGTGGGAGAGCGGCACAAGCGTTTCCTTCTGCAAAAAGGTGGAGTCATCAACCCCGGAATGGTGTATGTCTGCTACAGTGTACCAGGGTTGGAAAAGGGAGCTGCCTTTGGGTTTGTTTTTTTAAAGATTTATTTATTTATGCATACAAGAACTGGGGTACGGACCAGAGGTGTGTAGGTGAGAGGATTCACCAGAGACAGAGCGGGGAACAGAACAGGAGGATTGGCTGAAATACACTGCTGAGGGGAGCAGTGGGTGAGACAGGAGAGGTCTGCCGTGCCATGTGCGTAGCTCCCTGCCCGGGGATGGAACCCGCACTGCAGAGGCTGTGGATAGCTTCATAGGTTGCGTCTTAACCCCTTGCACCACCAGGGAGGCCCTGTGTTTCTGTTTATTGCAGCTGTAGCCTTCAGGAACATCACCTTTGTTCCTAGACACGAGGCCCTGGTGGTGGATAGAGAGTGACAGTCTTGCAAAACTGACCACTCCGAGGCCCCCCACCAAAGGGAACTGAGAACACGATGCAGAATAAAGCGCCCACACCAAGGAAGGTGGCTGCGGGGTGTGGGTTGGTAAACTGCATGGAGAACTTCTTTCCACCCTGATGGACTCTACAATAAGAAATGAGCCCTGGTGCCTTGCTTGTTCTCGTGAATCCATCCGGAAGAGGGCAGGGGAGCTTGATTCCTTCAGGCATGGGGCCGGAATGGGGAGGGGAGACACTGAAGCCTCAAGTCTGAGACAAGTTCCCAGCTCTTTGCACACCCATCCCCAGATAGGCTCCTCTTTTCCACATGGTTCTGTGGAGGCTCCTCTGTAGTACAGAGGCCTGATGTGGTGATGCCAGGACTCATTCGCCGGGGAGACAGTTTCCCTGTACTCTGGAGGATCAGGATAGGTGCTCGGCCTCTTTTCTTTGTCTGCTTGGGCAGTGCAGTGAGAAGCAGGTTCAGGCCACCTGTAGGAAGGGCCACCTGAAGTCACACCTGTCCAGGAAGCTGGGTTTGAATGGGAACAGGGTGCGAGAGGGCATTTGTAATATCCTGTGTCGGTCTGCTGAGGTCCCTCTTTCAGCTGCCACTTAAGAATGGAATGTGCTCCGGAGGGCAGCAGGTGGCAAGACACAAAGGCTCCTTGTCTGAGCTTGTGCCCGCACGTGGGGTCTCCTAGAAGACATCCTTCTGGAGCCAGCGCGCGCAGCCCCGAGGCCTGCACAGAGCCGTGCTGGGCCGCCTGGGCCCCTGGGCAGCAGGGTGAGGGCTGTGGCTAGAAGGCGGGGAGGCCTGAGGTCCGGTGTCACGAGTGGCAGAGTGGGGGCAGGGGGAGAGTGGACCCAGCCCTTGCTTTCCCCACCCTCCGGCCTTTTTGAACGTGTTCCACAGACGGGGCTTGGAGGGATCGGTTCTCTTTGCCTGGAAAGAATGAAAAGGCGTATTGTGAGACGGAGACTCTGGTTGCCAGCCAGGAATTAGTCCTCCAAGGGCGAGGAGGAGAAAGGCAGAGCGGGAGGAGGCTGGGGGAGGAGGCCTGGAGAGATAGTGGAGGAAGGAGGAGGGAGAGGCCGGGCGGTAGCGGGTCACAGTCGCTTGGCCCTGGACGGGAGGCCTGGGCTGCTGCGGCTCCTGGATCCACAGGTGTGGGGCCCGAGGGAAGAAGTGGGGGACGAGGTGGGGGTCGGAGGGAGGGAGGCGCTGTTATCTTACCCAGATGCACGTGCTCTGAGGGGAGGAGGGTCAGAACTTCAGACTATTTACTTAATCCCCTGGAATGTCCTTCCCTCGCTCTGTTCTTCGGGCCCCTTGTGTTTAACGGACCCCTTTATGGGCACATGTGTGGTAATTAACACGTGCAGCGTGGGTCCCAGGCCATGTGTTTGAGTTTCAAATATCCATTGATCTGGGGTGCTCCCATCCTGGCTGCCCCTCCTCTCTGCTTTGGTCCCAGCCCTTGAAGAAAGATGGAAGGGGTGTGTGTGTGTGTGTGTCTGGGAGTGGGAGGGACACACATGTATTTTATTGATGCTACGGACAAATATCCGAAGAGAGGAAAGGGCCCCCAGCAGCCCCTTAATCTCTGACAACCTGCTGCTAAAGCAGTCCAAGTCTGCAGAAGCTGACACAGGATGAAGTCTGGGCGTCAACTGAGAAGTCTGAAGGAAAGTGACCGTTTAGAGATTAGGAATTTACCCTGTGTCATTGTTCCTGGCCAACCAAGACATGTGTGTTGTCCCGACGTGCCTCTTTTTAGGGTCTTGTCGTGAACCAGTGGGGATGATTGGCAGCGCGTCCAGACCAACTGGACACCAAGTTAGCTCTAAGAGGGGAGTTAGCTGCCAGTTGGACGGAGGGTACGAATGATCACGTGAGAAGGATGGGGGAACACTTGTAAAATGGTTTCTGGTCATTCTCTGGGAGCTGAGCACCCAGAACCTTTGCGATCTGGTGGTGATGCTTCAGTAAATGACAGGTGAAAGTTTATGGCCGTCAGAGGTTTTTTTGAAGTTTGCTTTTTCCCCTACTTATAAGAGTTAGCCATCTCCCTACTTGTGGGAGTTAGCCATTTAAGGAGAGAGAAAAATAAAAACATTAGCATACTCCGCTGATACTCTGTATGGACTCCTGTGTCTGTCAAGCCTGTCTTGGAAGGGGTGGAACTTCCTAAACCCCACAAGCCTTTAGGGTGGAACTTCCTAAACCCCACAAGCCTTTAATTTCAAGGACTTTTTTTTAATTTCTCACTGACTGATCCAAGTAAAGAGTGAGTCACATTTACTTCTCAAGGTCCCTCGCTGTGTCTCTATTTTTAGAATCGCTCGTGGAGTCTGGTCTACAGGTTGGTGCTGACCCAGAGACTTTGTCGTTCAAGCGGCTGGGCAAACAGCTGAGGGATGAGCTTTACTCAGGGTGGTAGATGCAGGCAGCCTGAATGGAGGGCATGGTGAGGCTTTCAGCCTCAGCGCTCACGGGGATCTGCACACTGGAGAAGGTCTCCTTTGCCCCACGCCTGACTGCCGTGTGCCAGGCTAGCTGTCTTGGGACTTGTATACATGGAGGTCATTCTGCTCACATAACTTTGAACTCTTCCCAGCTACCTCTTTTTTCTCTTCCCCAGCACTGAGGGGGGGCTGGATCAGTAGTTGGTCTCTTGGCATTGCCATCCGGTAGCAAAAATTTATTGATTACCTGCCAGTCTGGGCAGAATTTGAATGGAGATGGGCAGCTGGTGACTTCTGTGGGTTGGCCCCGATCATGTCAGATTTCCTTGTAGAGAAGCATTCTTTCTGATCCTGCGCCCCGTGAAACTGACCTGTGCCCCAGCAGCTTGGAACCCATGAGGGAGGGCTCCACATGTATGTGCTGCTGCTTCCCGATGCCCCAAACCTCCCCGACCA